TATATACACAAGTAACTAACTTTCTTTTTGGAAAGGCTTGAATTTAAAATAGCACGCTATGGTTAAATTTAAGTATATAAATAGTTACAATGTTATCCTGTTCTTTATATAAAACTTTTAATTATATGAAACTACAGCTGAAACTTTTTTCTATAGCCCTAATATAGCAAACTTGCATATGCTTTAACAACAAAGAATATCATCTTTCTTCTTTCGTCCTGGGCTACTGCCATTTTCTTTGCATACTTAATAATCACAGTCAACTTTAACCTTTATTTTTTATAAGTTAGCACTTTTGTTGCTCTTAACGGCCTATCACATTATAAAATTTTCGATTCTTAAAAAAAACTTCAAATCCACTTGATTGCCGCTGTTATTTTCCTAACTTCATAAGTAAAAAGCCCAAAATTGTATCAAAAAACTTCATGTAAATAACAAATTACAGGAAGTGTTGTCAAAACTTTTCTTTCAAGTACAGGCATTTCGAAATACAACCAATTTATGCCAAATCACCAAGAAAAATTGACTAAATTTAAATATATAAATAGTTACAATTTTATCCTCTTATTTATATAAAACCTTCAACTTTAATTGTGTCACATAATAAGTCTGTAAAAATCATAAACGTGACTTGCTTATTATTTAAACCCACATTTCAGTTAGAATTTTTAAAGGTATTGTACTGCTATATCTAAATCACATAGCATATATAGTACACACAGCAGCTCTTGTACTTATTAAAGTTTGTAAGCCTGAAAATTTTGGAACATACAGCGTGAATAACATAACGTTAGTAGTACTAATTCATATATCTGATGTTCTACAATCGTTTTAGTTAGTAAATAAGCATAATAATTATATGATACAAGTTCATCCAAAAACATAGTACATGCTTAGCTACATATATACTTCCAAAGTATACTTATATCTGGTCAAGAAAGGAAAACACCAGTCATGCTTATACCATTCATCTCAAACAACTTAAAAAAAATTTTAATGAAGTAAGCATGCCTTTTGGAGTTTCTACTGACATACAGATATTAAACAGTCTGTTTAATCTCATGTTTCTATCTACATTTTTAAATGAGAGCAGTCCCACTCCCTCATCAAAAATCTAGATAATGTCAAAGAAAAAAGTTGACCAAACACTTAACAACCCATCTCTCACTAGAAATTTCTGTATAAATTAACATTAAATTTTGCATGCATGTATATTCTACTGAGATTATCAATGAGGAATGAACTGTTGACAATATTGTTGGCTGCCTTGTGAATGTCTGCAGTAAAGTATCTAGTAAGCTCTAACTTGGTTTTACTGATAATACAGATATGTATTTTCTGTTCTTTACAATTTTCTTATCACGTGGATGAATAATAAAAAGGTCCCTAATTTTCATTTGACAAAAAATCAGAAAGGAATTCATTAAAATATGATTGTTTTAGATGTAAGATTACTCTATTCAATTTCACCACTGAATATTACAAGTTATACAATTTATAGTAAGTGTTCTTTGTTCATACAGTGTTGCACTTGTCAAAAAATGTTCTAATCACATTAGAGATTCATCTAAATAGCCAAAAATTACAGAAAAATTAAAAACGTCGTCTTCAACTAGTAAACTTATCATTCTTGTAAACTTAAAACATATAGGGATTTGTTGATAAAATAACTTAAGAAAGTTTGAAATCAACAATTTGATGAAAAGTTTGATTTCTAAATATAAATTACACTCAATTTAATGTTTTTATGTATAGAATAACATTTCCCTAGTAGTAGTTTATTTAACACTAAGCTCCAAAAAATTTCTCTGTGGTTTCTTATCTGCAACTATAATAAAGATGTTTACATATTTTGTTAAGTGTATTAATAAAAAACAAAATTTAATGACTTGTATATTTTCATGAAGTAATTTCATTTAGTGAACCATACATACATGGGCATATTTACATAAACATTCACCTAAATGTGAAAATATTACTGATGTAATTTATATAAATAATAATTATTACTTTTGTTATGCTTGTTGCTTTTGAGATCAGTCAACTGTGAATGAAAGTTAATTATTTTGAACCTTGAAAAATATATTTCAAATGCAGAATTTAGCTACAAGTGGCATCTATAAAAGTTTCAGAGAGGTACAAGTTACTAGTTCATACTTCTTAATGAATGACAAAATTCAGTATTAAAAAAACACATTCAGCAGCTGACTACTTTAATTTTGGGTCTAACATAATTAAGTTATCAGTGATTGTGAAGTCACAGTATATGGCCCAAGAAAAGATCAATGGAAATTAGGATGATTAAAAATGTAACTAAAGTTGTATAACTGACAGATCGTGTACTGTATTAAATAATCATCATTATGAGTCATGAGGTCATATTGTAACAAAATGGTGTTGTTTACTTATCAGATTAAAATTAATGTGAACTGCTTGAAATATGTTTCATAAGATTAAATGTTTTTATTCTGACACACAAGATCTCACTGTTTTACTTATGCTTAGCAACATAGCCATTGGAAATAATGATTAAAGTGCATAAGATCTGTTCAAAGCATTTATATCAATAATAATACTTATCTGCTCATTCTGATGTTCTTCTTGTGTATGGAAAGTTTTATATTACCATCAGAACTAGTTAAAAACACAATTAGATTAGGTAATAATAATGTTGTTGCCAATTCTCTGAGCTGTAAAACTGGGGTCATATGTATCACAATCTTTGGGCATATTTCATTTCTGCAGCAACTGTTCTTGTAATGATCTGAAAATAATATGCATGGACCATTCTCTACATTAAAAATACCCTTTTCTTTTCCTTAATTGTAAATTTTCAGCCCTCTTACTGGATCCTTCATTTTGCAACAAGGAACTGAACTATAACTGGTATTAAAATTTCTAGCTTATGTACAAAATACTGAAAAGGAATTATGACAAATACAGAATTAACAGACAAGGATTTAAACTTTTAAGTAAACTGAAGAATCAAACCTTGGTCTTTGTAGACATATAACAATACAAATATCTTACACACACACTGTTGTTTAAAAATGTTTAAGGTCAAACAATTACTTACATATTATAAACATAAGAAAATAAAAAAAGCATAATTATATGTTACTGTATAAGAAAATAAAATATTAAGATTTCAAATTAATATATTATAGAATTATTGGTCATGAGTACAGCCCAAAAGGATAATTTTGCAATAAGTAGTGTCCATACAGTACTGAGTAGTTATTGGCTGTTATTTTGTTTACTACCCAGTGCTGATCCACTGTCTTTTGTTTGGAAAGCAATAGTTTCTTTGAGAGAAAAATACGAAACCCTATAACCTGAGAGCTCTCAAAAAGTGGACCTTTCTTCATCAAGAAGCAAACTGAAAATGTACAAGGATTATACAATTTTGTCTTCAATTGAATTTCTGAACCTACCCATTTTCCTAACATCATGAATAGTTTCTTCAACTTTTCTCCACTTGGTGTTTCCTTCTCTGTCTATCATGTTTGCATTTTTGAGTTTATTGTGTGGTTGTTTTTCTAAGTGTTAAAAGCAACCTAACTAAAGAAAGACATTAAGCTATCAGTAATTAAAAAAAGATAGAAACACTGTTATATTACCTGCCAATAAAGGGAATGCTATAGTCTTTTTAAACTGACACATTTAAGATCAGAAGATAAAGGAATTGTTATTAGACACAGTTTACCAAAGACTACCTTCAGCAAGTATCTATGATACTGTACATAAGATAAGACCTTCTACACATTATTCAATTTCATCACAACTCTATGGCTTCCCAAAAATACACAAATCTAATGTGGCCTATTGTATCTTACATAAGTTTGCCAACTTACAAAACAGATAAATTTCTTTATTGCATGCTCAAATTACTAACATCAGATTCTGCATATTCAGTTAAAGACTCGCTAGAATTTGTTGACCTCACTTCTGATCAAATAATACCCAAAGAATGTAGTTTCACTTCTTACCAAGATACTTGCCAAGGATACCATGGACACAAAAGCTGAGTGACTAGATCTTACTTTCAACAAGAATGTCCATCAGTATCTCAAACATCAGGAACTTGTTACACATTTGTCTCTATGCAAATTTCCTCATTTGGAATGGTCAGTTCTACCGAATGTTAGAAGGTATTTCCATTGAGCCTGAAGTCAATAACACTCTTCCATTTGTTGATGTCTTGGTTCACAAAGATATAACTTTAGAAAAGCTGACCGCTAACAGTTATTATAAAGGGGTTCAAACAAATAAATATCTTGCAAATAATTAAATAAATGTGGTCAACCTGTCTCAACTACTAATGAACCATAACAGAAAGAAAAAAGCATTTTAATTTTCCTTATATACCATGCCTTGGAATAAAATTTCAAAGAATAAGAAATAACTCTAACATCACCAAAGCTTTAATAAGTCCTCCTACATTAAGTGATAATTTTATGACAGTAAAATCCCCAGTTTTCAATCCTCACACAAATAATGTGGTTTATAGCACTTAGTGTGAGATTAGTAAACAATACATTGGAGTGAAACAATGCCATTACAGGTAATATTCAAGGAGATATTAAAAATTGTGCTACAAACACACCAGCTACAGCTTTTCATGTTCAGGAGAATAATTAAATAATAGAATTAAAACATGCAAACATGATAGATAGATAGAGAAAAAAAAACAAAAAACAGAGAAAAATCAAAGCACAAGACAGCAGGCCATCAATGGGTATTAAACCAAAACAATAGATAATAACCGATCAGTACTGTACGTGCACCACTCACAAAAGATGTCAAACACATCATTTGTCATGAAACTGATATAAAATTTCTTTTATGTTTTACTCATGACCAATAATTCTATAATATATTAATTTGAATTCTAAACATTTTATTTTCCTGTACAATATCTACGATTGTACTTTTATATTTTCTTATTTTTTGAAAATAATATTTGTGCAACTGTTCAATCTTAAACATTTTCAAATAATACAGTACGTAAGACATTTATATTGTTATACAGCTAAAAAGATCAAGCTCTGATTTTTTCATTTATGTAAAAGTTTAAATGATTGATTGTTAATGCTGTACATCATAATTCATTTTCAGCATTTTGACAGATTTAATACCAGATAGCTGGTACTGTCAGAAATGTTGCTTAGACACCTTTCTTTAAATAACAAAAAAGGTGCTCCATAGAGAAACAATTTGCATTATTCAATATACTGTTGCCCAATGACAGTTCCTGTAAAAAAGCTGAAAGCCTGTAGTTAAAGAAAAGAGTATTTAACACTGAGAACAGTCCATGTATATTTTGTACATATTAATTTGCCTACATTATGTGTTTAAAATGACAATCAGTCATGTTCTGTTTAAAATTGTTTGTCAAACTACTAGTCATGTTAGGAATGGTTTTGTCTATATTCTGTAAAACAAAAATTGTGGAATCATTCAAATAATAAGCTACAAGCAATAGAGTATACTGTATGGCAAAACTTAATTTAAATACATATACTTACTTAATATCAGTCCATCTTGCAAGTATTAGGTTTACTAGGAGTGTAATCATCTGTTGTGATATTCAGTAAATATGGCACAGTGTGAGATGAAAATTATGTAAAACATGTAGGTGTAAAATTTCATGAACACACAATGTAATTAAACAATCTTCTATACAACAATAGTGGTGCATTTGTTTCAAACCAAAGTAACATCTTTATATATTCTTGGGGACAAAATAAGCACTATGGAAGATATTACAGGAACTGTATATCTGTTTCAAAGTGTTCTGGAAAAAGTTAATCAAAACTAAGTTGAAAAGTATGAAGAATGTCAGAAATTCAGTATCAAATTTCACGGAATCAACTTTGATCTTAAATGTTCTTTCAATTCAATGTGGGGAAATAATGTTGTAAGAGATGTAATCATGTGTTCCTTTTATGTTATGAAAAAATTTAACATGCACCTTAAGAAAAAGATGGAAAAAAAAAACAGGAGAGAACATTGAAATTAGCTAGCATATATCTTTTAATCCACATTGGGTAGAAAAAAGTAAAATAAACCTTGCTACAAACTACCAGCAAAGAAATAAAAAACAAAAAAATTAAATAGTATAACATCACAAGCTTATCAATGAGTGATAGCAACCACATATTGGAAGTACAAGGTATTTCAAAATAAAGTATAAAATAAAATCTATAAAACAATAATATTCTGCTGGAATTGAAGATTTTAGGCAAAGCTGAAAATAAAATAAAAACATAAATAATGGTTGAACATTTTGGCAAACAAATACAAAATGTGTATAAAAATCAAACAGAAACAGCAGCTTTACAAAAATTTTGGCATTTACAGCTCCAAATGGAACCTAATGAAGCAATAGAAATTAGGATAGGAACTAAGTTTTGGCTTCTAAACAGAAACAAACCAATAAATCCATTTTTTAAAGCTCTAACTACATAATAAATTTTAAAGTAATAGCTATAAAAGCAAAAACTATTTTCTGATTGTTTTTGGTTGTAATATCACTAAACAACAGGCTTTGATATAGGTTACTATGAATCAAAGTTAAATATGATCTACATTCCAAAAGTTCTCAGAATATCTACGATTTATCAATTTTATGGTGTTAAGTGCATATAAAAATTCAACATTAAGTTTGATAAGAAAGAAAAACGTTGAATGAATCATTTTTACATGTAAACCAAAAATGATAAAAAACTACTGATATCCCCTACTGTTCTCTTTGTTCATACATCCAAGTAAAATTAAATATTTTACTGGTTCAGCTACTGATTCAGGTTTTTGGAGATTACCTCCAATACATCAATATGGCATACACATCACCAAATCATGTCAGATAAAAAAAACATCTGTTCATTACATTAACCTAAAATATCAAACCAATAATGGTGTTAGTTGTTCTCTCAATGTTCCTTGATGAAAACTAAAATTTAAATAAAAAATAGTTAAATAAAATACTTAAATGAAAAATAAAAGACTGAAAACTAGTGGAAAAAGAACCAAGAGCTCTACTGATAGGTCAGATTCCCTAACTTAGGTCATAAACTGCAGAATATAAAACAAAAAGTCATTAACTTACTATTGCCAGTGCAACAAAGTCAAATCTTCTGTGATTTGAAATGTACATTTTTAGAAATAATTTGAAATTTTCATCAATCGGACTTCAATTGTTTGACATTTTCAATTGGTTATATACACAATTTATAAAACAAAGCTTCCAATAAAACAGAACAAATCTTTAAAAATAACAATTTGTTAAATAACAGCAGTTACTTATAAAAATAAAAATATAAAAATTTGTGTAAAGCAAGTAATAATTCTTCAATTCAAGCACAAAATTTATTAGTGCATGAATTATTCTTAACCCTTGTTCTTAAAAGTTTTCAGCCTTCAAAGAAATGTGCAAATGTAAATCTTTGCAAGAAATGTGAAATTTATTTCATACACATTTTAACTAAACATGTATACGTGTATGTGTGTATATATATGTATGTATATTTTACAGAAAAGTACAAGGGGGGAAATACAATAACATTAAAGTTTTTTTAGAGTGCCATTGGGATTAAACTACCCCGAGCACTTTTAATACAAAAACAACACACTATATTTTAAATACAGCTATGCTTAAACAACACTTTCTTTTTGCTAAAGTTAAGTAAAAAAAGAGAAAGCTAGAGCAATGAAAGCATTATAACTTAGCTGCAGGTTAACACTATCACAGTTCACACATTTACAATATAACAATATAACTAGTGTATAAGGAGAAGATGGCCTTTTCTACATGAGCCTAAAACTACTACAAAATGGCATTAAAAACCCTGTTAACTCTGCTTTGGCCCAAATCACTTCCATTAAAAAGCCCCAGAAATTCACTGGTAAAAGCAGGTGATGTAAAAAGTCCACCAGTGAAATATGTAAGAGAGGATAAACATACTAATAAGTGGGGAGGATCACTGTGTACATGAACATTAGGAGCTAATCTCTTGAGTTACTGTGAATGTTGCCTAGTGTTTAACCCGCCTAAACCCATCTGTGGTATAAGTGACCTGGGTGACAATGAAGAAGAAACAGGGGTATGAGCTGGGGCAGGGGTAGGGACAGTGACTGAGCACTCATTTCCACCTGAGGGGGGCACTGTTCCCAAGTTATTATGGTTACCATTATTATTGGGTGAAAGTAGTGGAGCTCCACCCATTGTGCTAAATGAGCTACTGGAACCTCCTCTGGAAATACTGCTGTTTTCAGTCACACTGGAGTTACTAGTAGTGCCAGCTTCTTTCTCTCTTCTTTCAGCTGCTGCTCGACTTAACACGTACTGAGCAGCAAACTGGTGCTTTGGATCCATCCTCATTTGTTCCATGTGATGAAGTAAGCCTATAAAGCAACACACTTCAGTAACTGTTACTGTTCTGATTCTTTTCAATTGTAGTATTCGATCTGGCACACAACATCATCCTTTTATGTTAGAAACTATTATTTATTCTACTTGGTTAACTCTGTCTGTTAGACAGTATGCTACAATAATTATGTTACTGCTGTAGTACTTAGCAATTCTACACTAGGTACAGCATACAATAACGTTATATCAAATTATAGTAAAACAAATAAAAAATAACTTTCACAACAAAATACTATCCTTTTTTAAGATCTTAAGACAATAGTTAGGACATTTGTGGTACATTCTTTTTTGTTTAGAAAGAGATGCTTTTCATGTAGTGGCACATTAAACTTTGCATGTAGAATTTACTTTACTCATAAACGTTAAAGTGATAAACTCACCTAAGCAAAAGCATCAACTTGAAAATAATTCCATAAGAATACATGAAAAAAATGTAGCAATTTATTATGAAATACAAAGTAGGATTACATGGAACATGGGATAATGAATATAGAATTAAAAACAAAACATTAAACATCAGCTCAATTTTTGATAAAATTTATATGTGGTGTTTGTTTACAGCTTATTATCATCTTATGTGGATTAGACCTACTTGTATGCTAGTCAATACAATGTCATGATTATATACATAAATCTTTCCCATGTTCATGTATTTAAATTAAGTGAGAATGTAAATTACTCCAAAAGTCTAAGGATCTTGGAGATGAAAAGTATGCTTGTGTAAATTCTAAATCTGAGCTAAAGTTAAAATTTTCCTAAATTGAAAATGTATTTCCAATAACACTTACTTCCTCTCTTACTTATAGCTATTACTCAACTGCCAGGGTTTCTTCCTTTGCCCATCTAAACACTGGCCTGATTTTTTCTCGCTTGCTCCAGTCTTTTATACCCCACTTAATTGCCCTTGGCAATATTTGTCTCATGACACTCTCCACCTACATCAATGCTCCCTCTATCCTGGAACTGTATATACGCACCTCTAACACTGGCTTTTAGTGGGGAGGAAGGGCAGGAGAGTGTGAGCGGAGGTAAGCATTATTAGAAATACATTTTCAATTTAGAAAATTTTAATTTCCAATACATACTCTGTTCCCACTTATTGCTAGAACCCCACACTGAGAAGGTGGAGGTGTCAATGAGGGCATTATCCTTAAAGAAAGCATCTGCACAGATCATGGGTGTGTCAAGAGAAAATTGGCACCCCAGTGAGGAAACAGCACTACATCTGGAACAGGTATACTCTTCATCTTGAACTTAATTCCTGTATCCTGGGTGGAATTGTATACAAATGATTATCACTATAGGTCAGCTCCAACCAGATAGCCAAGGTTCCACTACTTGGGGTTGGAATTATGAGGTCTTGAACCACAATGTTATATCTATAGATATTATGAGTGGATCCCAGCCTGTAGCCATAGAGTGGTGCATTCCGAGCCACTGGAATCACAACACCAAAGTGGAAAAACCTTGTCCTCCACCTGAAGAAGCCCAAAAGGCAACACCTCAGGCTTGGAATGATGGGATCATGTATGCCTTACTCAACCAAACGAAACAAAACTCAATCGGTCTATGATTATGAACATTGATCCTCACTCCCAACCGTATGGGCTTGGTAATTCCACTTGCCCCCAGAATTATAGACAGGACATAGAACCACTTTACATTTGGAATTATGAGGAGATAGTGGACCCTCTTCCATGAACAATGTACTAAATCTATATTGATCAAATAGAAGGGTCATTCACCCCATCCAGATAGCGAATTATCACTTCTGAACTAGTATTACAAGTAGGCTCCAACATAGACTGATGCCACTCCTACCAACATCTGAGGAAAACATCCAGGGACCCAAGTAGGAGGGACCCCAACTTCGCCCTCTTCTCCAAGAGTGGATGAATTCACTCTAACACTTTGCAAGAAAAGCCTCTGTTCACCATCCCAGTGACTGGAAACTGGGTGTGTTAAGGACCTCCTAGCTCCACTAGTAGAATTTGCAGGTAATGTGCATTGGGAAGTCCTGAGGAACAGTGCTCTGGAAACAGTGTAACAGGTGAACCAAGTTCCCTAATTTTCTAAAAGCAAACTGAACCCAATTTATTCAATCTGATGATTGGTGGGTATGGGCAGGATCTCCTTATGCTTTACTCATGATAGTCCATGAGTGGCGGTCCAGCATAGTATAGTAATACCACCTGGTGAGCTCCTAGGTGGTCTTATGGAACACTTCATTTTTACAGAACCTGTTGCAACCTGTATAAAGTATATTGAATTAGCGGTTGCTAGTGCGGAATTGGTTTGATAAAAGCACACCTGTCTGGGCAACACTCATCACAGAGTGGGACCCTGTAAAAACAAGAGAAGGGACCTAAAAGGTAGCAAAGATAATACTCACCCCTCTGTATAATCTAGCTGAAATGGTTAAGATAGCTACAGGTAGTAGGCAAAAACCCTCAAATGAAGAGACTGCCAAATCAGGTAAATAATATGAGATGAAACTAATTGGGGAAGTCCACATACCAGTTCCCAAAATGACCTCCAGTGGGCAATTCGATCTGCCACTAAGGATATAGAAATGTGACAAATCTGATTAGATGTGACTCGCAGAAAAATCCTGTTCTTCAAAGAGACCCAGAAGAAAAGTCATTGTCTAGCATCTCTAAAGGCATTAGAGCAGGCAACAAAACCTTCAAGACCCTCACTGAACATTACCATGATCGAAATCTGGTTGGACATAGAAGTGAGAAATAATAATCAGATGAATAGGTGAAAAGGACTTTAAACCCTTTCCTGTATGACAGAGTCATGGGTAAGAAGAACTGGTTTGAGGATGTAGAGAGAATGAGAAAGCAGTCTGTGGACAAACAGCGCAAATCACTCTGACCAGTCATATCTGTAGGTGAGCAGCCACAAAAAATAGACCTTCCGGTAAAGGGGATACACAGCATATAAGAGTCAATGCACAAACAGGTGTTGAGAAAGAGCCTGTACTATAATCTTAATATACCTGTTAGGTAACTGGAATGGTCTTTTGGGACCAAGGATCCAAAATTACTTGAATAATCTGGAGAGTACTGGGGACTCAAAAATAATCAAATGGTTTTCGATAAGGCTGCCTTAAACAGGGCAATTGTGGAAGATGCAAAAACCTCTGCCAAAGAGCCAGGTCAAAAAAACGAGTTATGGTTGGCACTTTTGCCCAAAATAGGTTCAACCTCCTCTCAATACATCATTACTGATATGAATGTCAATTCCATTGACAAATGTAAGCAGAAACTGATGCAGATACATGGCAACCTTAGAAATTAAACCATAATGCTGTGCGAAAAACTATATAAACTCCATGCCTGAAACTTCAGCTTCTAGATAGCTGGGTGTACCAAAGCAGATCATGACTGTCTCTACAGAGATAGCTGAAAAAGAAGTGGAAGAGGTTGACACTCTGGAAAGTTGCAAAATTAGAGCCAATCCAACAGAACCTTGCGATGCAGCATCTATTCTGTTGGGAGAATCAGTGAGGATTGAAATAATTGACCTGCTACCACAGGCATCACTCTTGGAATATGGAAAGCTAGTTGGGTAATATGATAGAAATGGTCCAGAAAGAGGAGGTCTAAAAATTGAAAGCAAGGAGCCCAGGACCAAGTGCCTCCTCAATGACAAACACAAGACACCACCACAGAATTTTCCCCTTAATAAGCCCAGACCGTGAGGCATTCACTGCCTGTTGAAGAGCAAGAAGAATAAAATACTGTGTAGTAAAGTCTCTTTGTCCATGCATAGACCCTGGAATCCCTGACTATTGGTATATGCAGCCCATCCATGAAAAGAAGGAACTATGGACAAGATGGTGGTAGAGAAACCCATATCGTAGTTGTGTCTCAACTTAACAACTCCTCAAAACTGAAGAATTATCCTGACGAAGGAAACCAATGAATTGATGTTTATGATCACTTGGTTGCATAAAGACCAATAAAGGGATCTCTTGTGCTCTTGTCCCAAAGGCATAAGGGATTAGAGTGATGCCACATTCCTAGAAGAGAAAGAATCATCTGTGTCATGGAAGAATGAGAGGTGAGTAAGAGTCTGACGTCATATTCTATAGTGTTGAGTCAGATGGGAGTCAATTGGGCTTAACTGAGAAACGAGATGAAAAATAAAAAATACCAAGACTGATAACATACTGAATTGGAGCAAGGATAGATGTCTCAGCCCTGAAAATGAAGCCTGCCTTTACTTGTTTCTGAAAGTAGAATCAGGATGTGATGTTCTGACAATTGACGAGATAGTGCCAGCAGAAACCAGTCATCCATGGAATGGAAGTGACAAGAAAATCTGTACAATATGGCAGAACTCATGTGAAGCTGATGCGACTTTGAATGTGAAAACCTGGAACAGCAGTACCTGACCCTTGTGCACAACAAATGCCGATAGTGGTGGGACTCCACCATTATGACAATGTTCAGATAGGAGCCGACTACTGCAAATGTGAACATCTACAATCCCTGTAAAAAATATCAACTCAGATTGATGAATAAGTAACTTGTGGACCTTGGAAAATCTAGGCATGGATACAGCCCCAATCTCCTGTCTGCATAGGCTCAAAAATTCACAGGAATAAAACCTCGGAAGAACTAGCACGATTCACTCACTACCCCCAGACCAACCAAATTCTGATAGCCCTAGAACTAAGTTTCAAATTTCGATGATCTGTGAGAGATGAAAACCCTACAGGTTGGGTGGATAACAGAGGTGAAGATATGAACTGAATGACGAATCCTGACTAAAGAACCTGCAGTGCTTCTGGATCCGTGGCTAAGGTTACCACATGTCCAGAAATTCTCAGAGCCAAGCCCCACAAACTCTGAAGGTATATAATAATAACAACTGACGTTGCTGGTGGTCCAACCCAAGCAACAAAACCCTTGGATATAGAAAGAATCTAGTCTGGGTACCAATGTACCAAGAGGCTAATGTCAGGGGTCAGGACCCATGAACAGGGGCAAAACTATGACCCCATCCAAAAGCTGATCTGATTAAATTCGAGACTCCAACAACAACAGGGAGGAATGTAGAAGCCAAAAATTGAACCAATGGGCATGATAACAAGGGATCCAACTCATCAACAATTAAGTTGGTGATCCCAAGAGTCTTTTTTTTTCATTTTCCTTTAAAGACTGTGCTGATTACGTTGATTGGAACAACCTTTTGTGAGATAAGTTTGTTTTGTTAAAGCAAAGCAATGTTGTGCCATCTGCTACTTCCACCAGAAGGAATCAAACCTAGGACCCCAGTGCTACGATTTCACAAACTCACCACTGTCCCATAGGAGAACTAAATAGAAAGCTGATTTTAAAAAAGGTGCAGGAAAAAGAAAATCTATATTCTTTCCGGAATGTTGAAAATCACTCTCAATTGCGGCCTAAGAGTTCCCCAGAGGACCACCACAGATCTGAATATATGTCTCCATCTCACTATGAATAAGATCATGGACAGTCTCAAGAACTGAGAGTGACTCCCCCCCTCATTGTTGTGTGATGCTTGATAGCAGAGGTGGGATAGAAGAGATCTGATTTGCCTCCATACCAGAAATAATAATCTGGGAATTCATGTTATAAATTGGCTTGCCAATCAGAATAAAAAACGTTTATTAGTATTTTGTGTATATATATATATATATATATATATTATTATTATCATTATTATTATAAATTACTATCATGAAAATTAACTAGATAACACTGATAACGGTCAAAATATCTCCGAATAATCTAATACTGGGAAACCCGTTAGTGACGTTTTGTTGAAAAAAAGAGAAAACATTATCTGAATGAGGTGCTTATATATGGTACCAGTAGAGGGAGCACTGATGTTGGTGGAGAGTGTCATGAGACAAATACTATTAAGGGCAATTAAGTGGGGTATAAAAGACCGGCTCCAGTGGTTCAGAATGCACCATTTTATGGCTACTGTTTGGGATCCACTCATAAGTATATATATAGATATAATGTTGCGGTCAAATTGTCCTAGCCATCAATGTGGGATATAGGGACCAAGACCTCTTAATTCCAATCCAGAGTAGTGGAACCTTGGATGTCTCGTTGGAGCTGGCCTATAGTGATGATCACTCGTACACAATTCCACCATGATACAGAAATTAAGTACAGGATGAAGAGCATACCTGTTCTGGATGTAGAGTGGTACCCCCAGTAAGGTGCCCATCATCTCTTGGCACACCCATGATCTATGCAAACACTTTCTTTAAGGATAATGCCCTCATCTGCACCTCCACCTTCTCAGTGTGGGATTATAGTAATAAGTGGGAACAGAGGTATGTATGTATTGGAAATTAACATTTTTCTAAATTGAAAATGTATTTCCAATAATGCTTACCTCCGCTCACACTCTCCTGCCATTCCTCCCCACTAAAAGCCAGTGTTAGAGGTGCGTATATACAGTACCAGGATAGAGGGAGCATTGATGTAGGTGGAGAGTGTCATGAGAAAAATATTGCCAAGGACAATTAAGTGGGGTATAAAAGACTAGAGCAAGTGAGAACAAATCAGACCAATACTTAGATGGGCAAAGGAAGAAACCCTAGCAGTTGGGTAATAGCTATAAGTGGGAGAAGAGGTATGTATGTATGTATTAGAAATATAGATTACTTTCTTCTTACATTCAACAAATTTACAAGTGTATCAAGAACCATAACAAAGAAGATACATGAGTATTGTAATGCCATGGTATGTACTTTTATCTTATTTTATTTTAATTGAATTGTTAAGGTTAATGAATCTAACCAAGTTTATAATTATTTAACTCTAAAACATTGTGTACAATGCTTTTGTTTGGAATTGCAAAGTTATCAAACTATGTAATATTTGCTCATCATGAAAAAATAATACTATTAACATGATATATGATTCAAGCAATCTCTAATTTATCAATTTCTGTATTCATCTTCATTCCCACAGTAATGATAAATGATTACATGTTATTAATTTGTTAAGGATTAATTACATTTTATAAGAATGATGGTCCTAAATCCTTGGAACCACTTTCTCCATTGTCAATCATGTTTAATATCTGACATTCATATGTATCCTATTTCCACTGTAGGAAGCACGATCAATCTGTAGCTTTGTGCTTAACAACAAACAAGCAATCAACCAGGTCTCACTTCAGGAAAACAACTTTAAGTTTGAAATTATGAAGATTATGTCGACAGATAAAGTGTTTACAGTACAAACAAAACAGTGTAAAACTTTACACTTAAATTAGATCTAGGAGTGACAATAATTTTTTTTATGTATAATCATTATTCAAATGTACTAACCACTCTCTTGGGTGAATACACTTTGGCATACGGAACATGGCCAAACTCGCAGTGATGAGTTAGTTGAAGCTGACTCTGGGTGACTGGTGATGTGTTTTCGCAGTGATCCTTCATTGACATAGCTTTTTCCACAAACAGGACAAGGGTAGGTGGTTGTCCGACGCTTGTCTACAAAAGAAAATTATACCTATAACAATTTCCCCTAATTTTGAGTTTATGAATGTACTGACATTACTAAAATGTGTATTAATTAAAAACAAAGCAATAATGAAATAGCATGATGAGAAAACTGAAGGAGTTATGTGTATGAGCATTTGTTCAAACAAATATTAAAATTAAACCACTCACCAATCAAAGGAAAAAGAAAATTTTAAATTATTTCAAAATCTAGATATAAAAATTTAATTACTACAATTGAGGACAGGTGAGTGAAAATTTTCCCAGCAATACATACAGTCCTTTTATATTGTTAAGTATCAAAAAGAAAATTAATTCACTTTTAAAAATGCAAATAATTTTATATGGCTTGCACCCTAGCATTCTTCTTCTTTTCTAAGTGCTATGTATGTTGTTTCTTATGTTATAAAAATCAGAACGTACATACAACAAAAATATTTTCACTAATTACTTAGGTTCTGAACTTTGGCCATTAACAGAAGAGTATTAGGAAAGATAGTGAAACTCTACATCTTTATTTCTAGGAGGACTACATGCTATATCGCTTCTGCTGCCTATAAAGAATTTGTTAAACATACTCAGAAATATGTTTCTATGGTTATTACCTCCTTTAACTTGGATGGTAACTTTATAATCATTACACAAAATGAGAAATTACATTACTGCTGGATGGGTATGGATATGAGAAAGATTTACTAAATTTGTGTTAATTATACATATTACTATATAAATTAGTATTCAAACTGTTAAGACAGCGGAAGTCACGTGACGCTGGTAACATGTGAAGAGTTTCTAGAAAGATCATGAAGGCTTGAGTGTTTGCCAGATGCCCTCTATTTTTGTATATATAAGCCCGGCAAATAAAGCAGAGAGAGGAGAAGTGACGGCATATATAATTGCAGATAGACAGATAATTGAGTCAAGTGAGCGGTAGTGACCGTAAGTAAAGTACGTGAATCATTGCGAATTATAGCGTGTGTTTAAGTTAAAGTGACAGTGGAAATTCTGTGTATTGCAAAGTTGTATTGAGAAAGAATAAACTAGTTTTATTTAAGAAAGGACTTGTATCGCTGAAGTTTTTCAGAAAGAATTTCCACGGAAAATTAACAAACGACCAGAGATGTAAAAACAAACCCAACTTTTTCATATAGCTGTGTCTGTATAT